TAGCCAACCCACGGATCTTTCTGTCCACGAAACATGCAAGCTACACTAGTTAAGTAAGGGTTTTTTTCCCTGCAACAAAGTGCCAGTATCAAGAAACCACCATCCTGAGTTCCACCTCTGCAGCAGGAGCAAAGGCTCATCTTAGCACACACGCTATTTAATAAAACAATGCATCATTTCACACCTCGCTGCTGCTAAAGCGATTCCTCACCCGACACCTGCGACCCTTGCTGAAGTGGTACTTTTCATCAGAACACCTGAAATGACCCACACAGACAAGCCAGGGCAGAATCAGGGGTTATTTTTACTTAGGTCTCCTTATTGCAATCTTCAAACATAGTTCAATAAATACAAAATTAACAAAAATGTCAATAGATCTTTCTTACCATTTATTACTATTATTAATAATTCTTCCAAACCAACAGTGATTCCCTGGAGATGTCTGACAATAGTCAACATGAAATGCACACAGTGTCCCTCATGAGATTATATTACATTTGTTTCAAGCTTATAAAAATATAGATTGACTTCTCAAGTATGTATTTACAGTATATAACACGTGGCTAATGAATATCAAAAAGCATCTGGAGATGAACCAACTTGACTCCAGTTTTGGTTTCACGCGAGGTGCAGGCGAGCGCGGCCATCGGTCCGCTTAGCTCTGCTCCTCTCAATGGTAACTGCCTGAACACCCAGCATCTAATCCTCTCATAACTGTACTTACTAGCTCCAGCAAAGCCTTCCTCTCCGAGGAGGCTGCGGAGAAGCGGAGTGAGCTTGGCCAGACCTGAGCCCCCACCAGCACCGATGCGGTCAGGGCTTCCCCACAGCCAAGGGGGGAGAAAGGAGCCTCGCACCGGTCAGAGGCTGGATGGGCAAAATTCCGAAATCCTTCTGAGGCATTCCCCTTGGTTGAGCAGCTTCAAAACATTGTTGCTAATTAATTTAATTATAAGGCATTGAATACTTCCCCAAAGAGAGGTGCTGAGAGGACGCAAGTTAATTTTAAAATCATAACAACAACCTATAGGTTAATCTGCTCATTTTATCATCTTCAGTGCTGATGAGGAGTTCAATTAAAAGTGTTTATTGCTGCAACAAGCCAGGCTAGAAAGCATACTCCCATTATGTGCTTTTCCTTCCCTTTCTTGAAGGAGGCCAGGAAATAAATACCTCTTGTTTCTGCTGAGCTGGAGCACGGTCCCATCCCCAGAACCATGCTACCTAACAGAAAAGCTTTCAGAAACACCAGACTAAGTCAGAAAAGTAATTAAACACTGAATTTCTTTTGGGAGCAGCTAGAGAGACTCTGACGAAGAAATGACACCTTCAATTCTGATTGTGCTAGAATGGAGTACGGGAGCCTAATTCAGTGGGGGAAACGCTACAGAATGATTGAAAGATGCTCCCACTTCCCCTTGGAGCACTCACCCGGAGCGAGCACCACACGATGACACAGGCAAATGAGACAGGAGGCCGTGGGGCTGCCAACCCCTGCTGCGGGAGGGCAGGGACCCCTGCCCGGCTTCCCAAGGACTGAGGGCTCCCCACAAGCCACCAGTCACTGCAGCCCAGAAGAACCTGCCATGACAACTCTAGATAAGCTGTGCTGAGCTTTCTCTCTCCAGCTGGGGCTGAGCTTTCTCTCTCCAGCAAGGCAGCGTTCCCAGGGATTAAGGAGCAGATCCCAGCAGCCATGGGCAGCACCCAGAGCCAGCCCCTCCTTGCATCCAGAGACAGGGTGTGTTCTGGAGGGTTCAAAAGGAAGGTGTCGCTCCATGCTCACGGCCAGGTCTGTTTCCCAGACTCTGAAGCACTCTGTCACCTCGTCACCAAGCCCTGCGTTTCCCCAGACCTCCTTGGAAGTGGAGCCAGCCCCTCCGGCAGTGACCTCCCAGCACAGCTCCCTGCATCCCCAGGAAGGAAGCTGCTGGAAATCCCAGAGGACGTGACGAATGCAGGGAGAGGGGGAGAGGATCTGGAATCAAATTGGTTCAACTCCTGGCCTGGAGAACTATAATATACTTTCTATACAGATAAAATGTAAACATAAAGAGCATACAAATTGCACTTGATCCTTGGGATCTGGCATTTCTACCAAATGAAGGTTTCAGTTCACCATTATTTTCTTCGGAGTGTAAAACAGCAGGATGGCGAGTGACCAACTGGACGGGACACGGGCCAAACAAATTATTTCTGTCAAAAAACCCAACCAAGCAACACGGGAATGTTGTTTAAACTGCATAGGTGGCAGGAAGGAGAGCGCTGGTTTACCCTGGAGAGCAGAAACTCCCTGGAGCGTGCCCAGCTCTCACCCGCTGCCGGGGCACCTCCATCTGCACCCACAGACCAACGGCATCTCCCATCACTGCTGGGCAAGGATTCCTGCCTCCAGCTCTGCGCTCACCTGTGCTGGCTCACACTCCCCTTTGGTTTTGCTCCCAGGGGCTAAAGCCTGCACGGTGGAAGGTGCCCTGCTCCGGGGCTGCGGGACACGGGAGCAGTGGGGAGTGCACGGTGCTCACCACAGCACTGCCTGGGAATGCCAGCGCGAGGCAGAAAAACTGATGAACCAGCATTAGCTGGCACCTTCTTGAGACCACTGGTTGGTGAAGTTCAGGCAGAGAGTTCTTATCTCTGACGCAATCAAGCTAAAATATCTGAAAAAAGTGAAATCTCGTCAGTCTTGAGTGCTCCTGGACCCAGCCACGGCTGAGCCAGAAGACCCCAAGGCTGGTGAAAAGGAAACCGCCAGGAATGAGGTTTTACTAAGCAGAAGTCGGATCCCTACGGTAACGCGTTCTGCAAAGGTCAGCGGGTCCAGGACAGCCACCAGCACCTATGGCCATGCCACTCTGCTTGACCCCGCGACTGGGAGAGAAGGAAGATGCGGGGGCAGGGAAGATCCTGGACCCACGAGAGTCTGCCTTAGGGCCCCTTCCCTCATTTTGATCCTCATCCTCTCGGAGCACCTAAAAGGAGGATCTGACTCAAACATCTTTCCAGCCACACTGTGAACGTGCCCCACAGCATTCATTCCCTCTGTAAATCTTTGCCTTTCATCATTAATAATTCACTAGCAATACGTACAGATGATAATAAAAGGCCTACAAAACTCTGTACAAGGCTGCAAAGACCCATTTAATTAACTAACTCCAAGGAAACTTGTATTATTAAGCAGATGCTATTTACGTCTTCCATCAGGGATCAGGCCTGCGTCAGTGGGAACTGCCAGCATGCAAGGCAGGCAGCACTGCATCGGCTGCAGCAAAAGAAAGTGCTGACATGCCCTGGATTGCCGGGATTGCGTGGCAGGATTTCAGGGTTCCCACAGATGCCACTGTCAGTTCTGCCCAAGCCCCAGCTGGGGTGCATGGTCCCTTCGGCACAGCCTTGCAGCCCCCTCCAACACCCAGACACAGGGTGCACCCCAGTGCAGAGGCTGTGGGTGCTGTGGGGCACGCTGGCACTGCAGCCCCTGGGCATGGACCTCTGCCCTGTGTTACCCTGCAGTGGAAAGCCGATGCCCTGGCATGGCGGAGCAGGACAGTCCAGGCAGGCTGCTGCTTCCCTTCCCTGCTCCCAGCTGGGTCCAGAACAGCTGGAGGAGGCAGAGAAGCACACTCACCATGGCTGAGGTGGCCCTTTCAGTAGCCAGAGGCACGCTGCCAGAGCGGGCGTGAGAAGCATCCACTCAAAGCGCACGGCCATGCCCGCTCTCTGAATCCAAACCAATTCCCAGGTTTTCATCCCATTTCTGGCTTAACTGGCAGGTTCCTTTCTGCCCCTGCAGGTTGAATTCATGCTGTTCATAAAACCTTTTCCCCTGCAAAAGCTTCCAGACCTAGAGAGGGAAGAAAGCTCATCCATCTATTGCTCGGAGGCAGAGGGGACACCTCCAGCTCGGCTGACAGCAGGGAGTCTCCAGGCTCCGGCATCAGCCCATGGCTGTGGACACAAAGCCGCTGCCTGCTTTGCTCCACAGCCTCGGGACAGCAGGCAGAGCCCAGCACAGCTGCCCACAAAGCCAGCGAAGGCGAGATGCAGGGATGCTCTGCCTGCTAAACTGCAAGGGAAGCAGGGAAGAGAGGCGAAAGTAGCAACAGATGCTTCAGCATCAGTCCTGCACGGGTGGCAGGTCTGCGTGTGGGCAGCAGTGTGCTGCTGCTGTTGCTCCAGCCTCTAAGTTCCCACCCCAGCCATAAAATAGGGGGCTGGGACCTGCACGAAGTGCAGCAAAGGCTGAGAGCATCGGCGGCGCAGCCCCAGGGCTCCACTGCTTGCCCTCTCTCGGCTGCGGCTCTCTTCATCAAAGCTTTTCATTTCTTCCCCTGAAATCGTCACATCAGGAGAGCCTCAGAAACATTCAGCACCATTTGCTCTGCACTTTAGGGGAGAATATTTGGTTTTGTTCACCAACTGTGGCGTCAAGACTCGGTGAAGTAACTTTTGGAGTGGAAGGGACCCGGCTGGGGAAGAGGTTCCTTTCAGCACAGCAGATGGGGAAAGTCACCTTCCAGAAGTTGGGCGCTGGGTGTGAGCTGTGCTTTGGTCTCTAAAAATAAAAGCTCCTTGTGGGGTTGCTAGAACATGTCAGCTTGTATAAAAATACCCATGGATTTCACCAGTAGGATGCTAGATATGAAAATGCTGTCAGCTCTGGATTAAGACAGTGCACAAATGTCCATCCACCCTGTTAACGTAATTACCATATGAAATGGCATCATTACAGTTTGATTCATCTTACAAAACAGTGCTAGCGAGAGCCACATCCACCTAGGCACACCGCACACGTCCCAGGAATCCTCGGCTTCCTCGGCACAGGGGGCAGAAGCCCTGCTCTCTTGCCATGTGGAATGACTTGTTTGGCAGCAGCCCAGCAATTCCCACGTCCTCCCTGAAACCGCAAGGTTTCGGGGATTTGGTCTGGTTGGGGGCCGGCTGCCTGTCTCCTCCCTGGGAGCGCCGGGTCAGTGCTCCGCACCTCTGCGGGGGCTGCTTCACACCTGCACGCCTCGGCCATGCATCTGGATCACCTGGGCCCGGAGCGTCTGGATCCCGCTCAGGATGGTCTTCTGGTGCTCCACCAGCGTGATCCCCAGGCTGAGGACATCCCTGCAAAACAAGCCCCGTGTCAGCCGTGAAAACCAAGTCCCAGCTTTAAAGTGCCCCAACACCACCTGCTCCCAGGCAAGGGGAGCACAGCTTTCACTCTATCAGCTACCACAGACCTGCTGGGTAAAGACATCCCCAGCTTGGTTCTTGGTTGCCCTGAGAAGCTGTGGATGCCCCATCCCTGTGAGTGTCCAAGGCCAGGCTGGATGAGGCTTGGAGCAACCTGGTCTGGTGGAAGGTGTCCCTGCCCATGGCAGGGGGTGGGACTGGAGGGGCTTTAAGGCCCTTTCCAACCCAAAACATCCTGTGAACTTGTCCCAGGCAAAGCAACACGGACCCTGCCAGGGAACCCAGGGGGAACACGTGCCTGCAGCACGCCAGGCATGAGTTGGCTCCTCATGCTGCCTGCGTAACGGGTTATCAGTAAATCGCATTTGATTGGACTCTGCTCTCTGGACGGGACAGGCAACACTATCCTTGCCAGAAACTACAGCTTTAAATCTCAGCTTCATAAAACAGCAACTGGGATGCACAACACAGCCCAACCCACACCAGCGAGCTCTTACAGACATGTTTTGGAAGATCTGTCGTCTTGTTTAGTGATGCCTGACTAATTTCAAAGCAGAGCTCGTGCACGCTGCACCCAGAAACATGAGGTTATAGCCAGAAAACCAGTTTACTTACTGGGCTGTCATCCTGGCCACTGATTCCAGGTAGCAGTAGCCCGCAGCGGTGAAGCTATCTTTGTACCTGCCCATTTCTATCGCTTCAAGCCACTCGCCCACGGAGCTGAAAGATGGGAAGGCTGAGAAGGTACGTTCAGTGAGGGGGATGGATGTGCTGTGGGACCTGCCAACAAAACGGGGCGGTGAGGAGGGAGGAGGGCATGGCATGCCTCCGGTGGGAACCAAGGCACAACAACAGGCAGCAAAGCAAGAGGGTGGGCACCTGGTGCATGTGTTGGTGGGACACTTCGGGAGCTCCGGGCTCTGCACCATCTTGCTCAGGATGTTGTGGATGTGCGAGAACTTGGGTCTCTGGCTGCGGTCCTTCTGCCAGCAGTCGAGCATGAGCTGGTGGAGGGGCGGCTGGCAGTTCACTGGGGCTGGCAGGCGGAACCCATCATCCACAGCCTTCATCACCTGCAGCGGCAGAGGAGGGCGGAGGGGACAGGGTCAGGCGCTGCAATGCAGACCACAGGCAAACCCCTGGAGCAAACCTCCCTCCTCACAGTCTGCCTGGGGAGCAGCGGCAGCCCCTCCAGGCACCACGGAGCCTCCTGCACACCATTGGCAACGCCGCGGCAGCCGGGGACTCACGTCCTGGTTGGACATGTCCCAGTAGGGTCTCTCGCCGTAGGACATGACTTCCCACATGACGATGCCGAAGCTCCAGACGTCACTGGCCGGGCTGAAGTGGTGATACTGGATGGCTTCGGGGGCTGACCACAGCACCAGGCTCTTCCCACGCTGGACGGGCAGAAGGGGAGAAATGACGTGCTCACACAGTGGGACATAGCTGATGCACGCGATTCCTGGGCAGCCATTCATCGCGCCCCGCCCAGCATCGCAGGACAGACCCCGAGCAAGCCCACGCGTGGGGTTAGTACTAAGAGAAAACTTTTGCCTCCATTTGTTTTAAAACAGCCATGTGACCATGTGGTACATGGGAGCGTGAGTCCTGAAATATTAATGGGAGAGGAGAACGTCTCTGGGAAGAGCTGATGGCATTTTATACATTAATATTTAAATGAAAACCGTTTCAGAGCTGGGCAGACACGCAGCCCCTCCACCCTGGCTTGCTCTTCTGTAATTAGCAATCCCCGTCTCAGTGTCTGCAGAGCCCTCTGGATGCACCAGGGGAAGCGGGTGACAGACACCACAGCTAATTGCAATTAACAGCAGGGAGACCTCGACCCCAAAGCCACGGCCCTGCCGCACCGTGGTGGGAGCAGCCAGGGCCCCCGCTGGGCTCTCCATCCCCCTTGCTCAGGGGGCTGCTCCAGGCCTGGCAGCACACCAGCAACTCCGCTTGGGAGCTTTGCCCCCCTTCGGAGCACACCAAGCGTCCCCCGCTGAAGTCACAATAATGGCCAAAAAGGTTTTCCAAGGCTCTTTCTGCCACCGGCCTGCTCAGAGCTGGCAAATGACTGCAGCTCCTGGCAGAGCGTGGGCCAAACCCTGCAAACGGGCTCTTCCCCTGGGATGCCAACCAGGACACGGGCACTGCAGGCAGTGCTCATCAGCTGCTGCCTCCTTGGTGCTGCCCCGGGCTCCCTGCAAACAGCAAGTGCTCATTTGACCGAGAAATCAATGCTCTTTAAAATATTAATGCTCTGTTAATGTGATGCACTAATGGACCCGGCCGACGCAGGGCAGCTGCAGCGTACCAAAGGAAATCCATCCTATTGCTCCACACTCAAGAATGTATTCACACACGGACCAAAGAGGGGGCGAGCCAGCTCCAAGCGAGGGGCTGCAGGGCCTCGGGGGCCCATGGGACTCTGCCCAGCCCCTGGCTCCGCACCCAAAGGTTCCCAGGCAGCTTCTCCGAGCGTGTGTCGGCGCTCGGAAGACAGGCTGGCTAGCAGAGCTGACGAGGCGTGAGTGTGAATCAAGCAGGACTTAAATTCTTAATTGAAAACCATGAATTTCATTACAAGTGATAAAACAGACATAAGGAAGCCTGAAGCTGCCAGAGCTGCCTCCAGCCACCGCCGCCTCTCTGCCAGCTTGTGCCGGCGCATGGGAGGGCTGCGGTCAGAGGAAAAGTGGTGTTGGACAGCTGCTGTGCAGGTCCCTGGCTAAACATATTTAATTTCTCGCTCAAAAAGTCACTTTTAAGATGCAAAACCTGTATTCATACATGAAAAAGGAAACGGGAGCCTAGAAAAAAATACTGGTTCTGGAGTAGGATTGCTATGGGTCTTACTAACTCCACCTGTGGAAGCTGGCTGGCTTTGGATTTGATCCTTACTCAGCATTCAGAGCAGGCTGCAAAGCTCTTCGGTGATGCCAGACCTCAGTCCGTGCGCACTGGACCATCGCCATGCATCGCAGCCACGGAGATCCATCTCCACGGAGCTTTTCTAGCCATTCTGTCAGCATTTTGCTTTCAGGGAATGTTGACAGTGGAATTTGGAAATGCAGCTTACCATGGTGGAGAAGATGGTCTCCATCTTATCTTCTGGAGGCCGCCTGAAACCAGTTATTTTGCAAGCCAGGCTGCCGTTCACGAGGACTTTGTGGGCAGCAAGGCTTTTATGTATGTAACCCATCTCTGCCAGGTACTTCATGCCAGAGGCAATCCCCTGCAACATGCAAACGAGCTGGGTGGCTGTAAACTGTCCCTCGTGTTTCTGTAAAAACAGAGGAGGAAACGCCGAAGGTGAGGAATACCCAGCTCAGGGGTCTCCATCAGCAGACCCCGAGTGGGTAGCAGAGCCCAGCAGTTAACCATCAGCTCCCACAGCACTCACCCTGAGAAAGGAGTCCAGCATGCCGTTCCCCATGTACTCCATCACTATCATCATGGTACTCCCTGCACGGACAGAAAGAGCACTGCCTGAGCCCCGCTGCAGAGGCCCTAATGCTGTAGGCATTAGAAATGTGAGTTCTAACCTCCAGCGTGGTCAGCCTGTGCTGCCCGGCTATTGGGGGAGATCAGGATTTTTCTCAGAGCAGTCGGTCTGAGGCTTTCCCGTGGTTTTCAGCTGGGATCCCACTGGATCCCAACATCAGATGCTCCTTTTACCACAACACTGAACCACACCACAAAGGCAGACAGCGCTACTCAACACAAAAGCAACCAGCTCAGCCCAAGACTCAGGACAGAAATACTTCCTCACCTAATAAAAAGGCTAGTTAAAATCAGCACACGCACTCAGGCTCCTTTGGATTTGCATGAATATCCATTTAACCACGGCATCCACGGACTAGTTCAGCACACACACTCCCCTGAGAGCCAGGAGCAGTCAGAGTCATCTGTTTTACTGACAGAACCTCACTTCAATTTGCTTTTAAGAGTGCACAGTTTTTCTGCTAAGCCAGTCCTACTATCTGGATTTATTAATCTAGCTGTAAGCATTTTATTAATCATCAGAACGCTAAAATAGCTAATACATAAGGAAACGCCCCATTTCCAGAGAGCAACAGCATTGCACCTCCATTATCGCTCCGAAGCAACAGCTTGAGCACATTCCCTGCACAGCACCCTTCCTCCAGCGCGCACAGCTCGGGCTGCCCCGTGTCATACAGCCCGGGACCCCCTCACCTCTGGTGATGACCCCCTCGAGGCGGATGACGTTGGTGTGATCGAACTGGCCCATGGTGCACGCCTCTGCCAGGAAGGAACGCTGCTGCTTCTCCGAGCACCCTGCCCGCAGGGTCTGGATTGCCACCGGCAGCTCTCGCTTGCTGGGCAGCTTCAGGCATCCCCGGCAGACTTCTCCGAACTCTCCTGTGCAGGAGAGAAGGGAGTTAAACAGCATCCAGGGAGGAGTGAAACAGCATCCATGGCAGGACATCGCTCGCAGCCCACGGCTCGGCACCGCGTGTCACGGTGCTTGCCTGCTGTTTTACCGAGCTGCTGCAACACTCGGTGAGTGTATATGTACATACAAATATACACACACATATGTGTACATATACACACACCTGCTACAAAGCACAGGGCAGCAGTCCTCTTCTGGGAATTCAGCTTCCCTTTAGGGTTTATTTTCTTTGCTTTGGGACCATAAAGTGCATTCCTGTATCACATGATGTGTCTTGCTGTGTAGGCAAGCAAGACTTCCCCATCGTTAACCAGAGGATTTGCCAATCCATAAACCCAGAAGTGGAGCCCTCCTGGCTGCGAGTCTCCCCCACAGAGACTCTTTTACCATCTTCCCCCACCTCTGCTGAACACACAGGCCCCTGCACACAAGTTTAGCATCAGCATGTGACACGAAAAACATGTGATAATGCAATGCAATTACTTTTTCCTCTTCCTACACCTCTAAACCGTTCTCCCCATGCTCTGCTCAAGCGCACAGTGTGCTTTTTCCCGTGAAGATTAACCCCCAGGCACCGAGTTCGTAGCCCCTGGGCTCAGCCCATTCTGCCCCCCAGCTCAGCACACGCAGGGTCTGCGTCTCACGGAACAGCATGTCAGGGCCAGGAGTGTTTCCACAGCCTCTGGGGCAGAGCATCCCACCCGGCACAGCCTCACGCTTGACAACAGGAGCGACCAAATTCATAAAAGACCAATATTGGTTTTACAGCAAAAAAGCGTGTAGCCATGAAAAGCTTTATTGATCTGAAAGCCAGGTACTTGTTCGGTCAGCAGGGAGACAAATGCAGTCCCAAATTCCTTATATTTAAATGTCTTCCTGACTAATTTTCCTTGATTTTTCAAATAGCAATTTGCATCTGAAAGGTATGTGGGATTAGTCGCAGCTGCTCCACTCAGCAGCTATAAAGAAAACCTCCTCTTCTCCCCAGTGTCCTCTTCCCTTCCACACTGTCCTTTAAGCTGTGGGCAAGCCCTTCCCTCTTCCCTTCCTCCACCTCTTCTTTTTCTGCAGTTGAATTTATCTTTAGGAAAAGAAACGACAAAGAATAATCGTGTTTCCTATGTGCTGGCACACATTAGCGATCAAGGCTCTAGGGCCCAGTGAGGGGATTTTAATTTGCTTTTAAGTTTTAGGCAGTGAAGTTGATGAAAATCAATAAATCATTAGGTTCACATATTTATAAATAGTTTTCATGCTGCTGTCAACTGGCCCAGATGCAGATAATTGCTGATGCTTTCTGGTCCGCGCATCACTCGGTTGGCTGTACTCTGCACCCCAGAAAAACAAACGGGGATGTGAAATCGAGCTCCCGAACAAAATACTCACCAGCCCCACTCTCATCTCCCTGCTGCGAGCATGCACCCCCAAGACAAGAGCATGAGCAAAGGTCTGCGATGCTGATGGTGCCGGAGGACGAGGAGCTGCCTTGGGAGATGCCGGCAAGGTGGGCAGAGCCCGTGGGGGCTTGGGTCGGGCAGGACTGCAGCAACATCACAGCCCCACCACGGCCCTGCATGCCAGGGGCTAGCGGGGAGTGCTACGGATGGGGACATGTGCCGGGGGCTAGAGGGGAGCGCTCTGGATGGGGACATGTGCCAGGGGATAGCGGGGAGCGCTACGGATGGGGACACACACAACCCATGGCACGGCCACTGCAGAGGGGTCGGTGAGAAGGAACTTGCCTGTCCCGATGATCCTCTCAATTTTAATACTAGCGTTATCCAGCTCTTTGGCAAAGAGGTGCACGGCCTGCATAGGGTCTTCGCAAGTGTCGGGGTCGATGTACGTCCTCCTGGTTGGTATTTTAACTGCGGGAAAGCAGGAAATGCACAAAGGGCACATGAGAACGGCTCGGCAGAGCTCCCTCCCACCCTTCCCAGGAAACGCTCTTGCAGGTTATCCATCACCAGGTCTGCTGGCAGGAGTAATTTGCCACCTTTTTATAAGCAAAGCAAAAGACTCATCTTTCAGGTTGCTAGGAAATTTCTTGTGGGATTAAATAAACCTAATCGCTCTGCTCCACTGCCACAATCCCAGGTTACAGAGAGCAGCCCCTGCGCTCTAATGCAGCTCCCTCCTGGACTGAGCCTATCTGTGACCCCTGCTAATCCTTAAGCATCCAAATTCATCTCCCTTCCCAAGATCTCCAGAAGAAAGCGTTATAATCAGGAACGGCAGCCGTGTTCCAGGTCCCCTTGATTAGCATCATGGACAGCAAAATACCTCCCACAAGCAGCTACCATCTGCCACACAGCGAGGGACCCCGCCAGGAGCAGGTCCAGGAGAACCGTGAGGAATGAGGTTGACCCGCTCGCAGGAGCCCTTGCAAAGCTCCGGAGGTGAAACAGCCACCCACTTGCTGGGGCTTCCCCAAAACCCTAATTCACATTTCCTGAAAGCAAACAGCCAAAACAACAGCCAAAGCACATCAGCTCTGCCACGTGCCAGGCCCCTTCTAGAGCAGTGCTGCATCTCCTCCTCTCCGTGGGCAAGGCGAGGAGGATGATGGATGTTTTTCTTGGCCTGTCTGGGATCAGTGCAAAGAGCAAATGGCAGAGCCCTGTTGCGACTGCCAGCTCACTCCAGGAAGGGATCGAACCATGCAAGGCTTCCCCTTCCACCTGGGCTCAATTCACCTTTTGGAGACCAGGCGCCTGCTGTGCTCCCCTCACCCTTGGCCGAGTCCCGAGGGCAGCTCAGCAGCAGGAGGCCCATCAAAGCCAGGTGAAACGGCCAAGCTGCACCCGCGAAGCACGCAGGCTCTGCTGCTTCTGAAATGCTTCGGGGAGCAGAAGAGCATGTGTGCGCTTCACGGGCATATGCCAGGAATCAAATGAACTCATCAATCCTGACATCTGAATTCCCTTTGACAACTGTTGTCTGTAAAATTATTGCTGCTCAATAATCAGGAGTAGCCCCAGAAAACAAAGCTGTATTCTCATGTAGCCGTTTGTGAAAAGCTGATGGAATAATTCATATGCCCCGTGGAAAGCGGAAAGCATCCCCGTTTCCTTCGGCACAGCAGTGACCTGTGTGCGGGAAGGACGGACACGGGCTTATGAAGCTGTCAAGCCTGCCGTCCCCCGAGAGCCTCGCTGTGCTGTGCCCCTGCTCTGGGATAACGCAGGATGACAACTCTTCAAAAGCAAGGACTTGGGGCAGCTTTGTCAGGAGCTGGGTTATTAATAGCAATAAATACAGACATCCCCACACAGTCACACTAGCCACGGTGGCCAAGCTTCACTTACAGTGGAAGTACAGCTCCTCATCCCCGTCCTGGCTGGCTTTGCTGTACCCACACTGTCTGCAACGAGAATGAAGATGGGCACCATTACCCAGGCAGCAGCCTCTCGCTGGGTATAAAAGCCTCAAGTCCCAGCGCTCAGGAACAGAATCCAGCCCCGCGGCACGAGGAGCCAGCAGGCAGCTCAGCCCAGCTCCCACGCTCAGAGCGAGCGCTGCCCCATGTTCCCGAGAGCCCTGACCCACTCCCAAACCTCCTTGCTCTGTGTCCCAGCTCCACTCACCTCCTCCAGACCATCACGCCGATCACCATGGACACCAGCACCGTCAGCCCTGCAATGGCCACCACCGCGATGATGAGGACAGGGTTCTGCTCGCTGGAGGCCACCGTGACTGCGGGAGGGAAGCAGAGCCAGTCGGCAACGCACCCTGGGCAGCCCCAGGGCATGGGGCAGCCCCAGCTACTTCTCCCCACGCCGCCTACACCCCCCAGCAAGGCCGTGGGACAATTCACCGTCCTCACAGCAATTCACGTTCTAGTTCAGTTGTAAAAGCTCGAGCTGGTTCAATCAGACCCACAGGCAGGAGGGGACAGAGCCACCCCAGTGCTGCCACACTGGGATCCTGCTTTTGTTAATCAGCGCTGAGGAACGGAGGAAAATATTAAACTTTATGGCTTACAAATAGTTTTCCTTGATCACATTAATCCCTTCCCTTCCTGCTTTTGAAAACTGGGGTATTAGAAAGCTACGTTCTATATCAAATTTTTATTGGCTCCAATTCATTCTGAAAATGTCTTCTGTGTGGCAAATAGATGCAATTTAAAGCCCTGTTAAACACAATCTGTGAGAGTCGCACTGAGCCAGCCATCTCAGGGCTTTCATTTCTAGCCAGGGTGGGTTATTAGGCTGAAGTCCTACCATCTCTCCAAACCCTCTTTTAAGCAGCAAAATAAAATGCTTCTGTACTATAGTTATGAATGGAAACTGTGAAAAGGAAAAGCCCCAGCAAACAACACCGATGCTGCCTGACCTTACTCAGCCAAGCAGCTAACAAGCCAAGCGCCTCATGAGCCAGGATGGCAGCGGGGCAAAGCAGTCACCTCCTGCCCAGGGGACACATCCACGGCCAGCTGGATCTCCAGGCTAGTCTTGCCTCCTCTGCTGCAGCCTGTGCCAGCCACCCCCTCTCTGGAGCACCCGTGGAGGGCGGCACAGCTTCACAGACCTGGGCAGGATCGTGCCCTCGGCAGTTATGCCTGCAGGGACCGACACTTGCTCCCTCCCAGCACCGGTTTGGTGGCCCCATGGAAGAGACCTGGCGAGATTCTTTTGCAGCACCAACATCACGCCAAGGCAAAACAAGCCTCAGACACTCCAGCTAAGCACTTTCTTGGGCAATCTCAAGAGCAGAGACCAACACCAGCCTCTGCACCGGAGAGCAGCCAGAGATTGGCTGTCCTCGTGCCGCGGCACTGAGAAGGGTGAGGACAGACACCCCCAGGACAGACACCTCCAGGACAGACACCTCCAGCAGCAGCAGCCTTGTTCAAAGCAAACAGCAAAATGCAATTAGAAGCAAGTCCTGGGAAGTACCTGCTCTCAGACACAGAGGCAGAGATGCTGCTCCACGAAACCATGAGCATCTGGGGCAGGAGCAGCGAGCACCAGCATCCCCACAACTCAGCTCAAAGAGCCTCACGTCTGCAGTTACACCTGTAAGAGACGGCGAGCCTCGCCGGCACTTACATTCTGCCAGCGTCTCCACTTCAATACTAGGGCTGTAGTTTCCGTAGTCGGGTGAGGAAGATGTCCGGATTTGGAAAATATAGAGGGTGTTTCAGGTTATTGACCGTCACAGCCGTTGATGTGGTTTTCACAGTTGAGTAACTCTGATCTCTCTGATCCTGTGAAATAACGAGATGCCCCAGATCTAGCTGGACTGAAGCTGCACCACAGAGCAGGAACAGCACAGCTCTACCCCCGCCTCACCCCCGGGTCCCACCAGGACAGTCTATCTCAACAGAAAACCTTCAGCAGAAAGAATACACTTCCTAGATGTCTCATTAATAGAAGTTACATGGAAAGGTCATGTGAAAGTGCATCATCTGGCGCTGTCTGCCGTATGAAGACAGGCGGAGGACGGGGTGGTGGGGAGAAGCTGTGCCACCCCACACAGCTCCTTTCCTCCCACCTCGGGATCGGCTGCTGGCAACCGCCTGCTCCCCTGCCACGGCCACTCGAACCCTGGAGTAAACACGCACGTATTCTCACACACTGAGTAATCCAACCTGGCAGGCGGGTTTATCCCCAGTTTATTCCCTTGCCCAGTGACTTAGAGATCTGCTTCAACTCAAGGAGAGGGCAATGGGCAGCCCCGCTCCTGGAGCAGCTGCTGGAGGCGTGAATGGGAGCAGGCAGCCCGTGGGATCTCCCGTCTCAGAGCGGCACATCCCCATGCCTCTGCTCCCCGGGGCTTGCAAAGCAAAACAAGCCCCAGCTCCGGCAAAACTTCCCATGGTTCTGCACAGCCACTGTCGGGGATCATTTTCCCAGCTGTGTCAGGTACTTCCAAACAAACTCCCCAGTGGGAAGATGAGGCCAGTGCTGCTGCAGTCCTGGGTTTATCTGAGGCCACTTTACCCTGGGAGTGGGGCCGGGCTGTATCCCACTGGCTCAGCATTGACCTCTCTGGGATCCCACACGTGCGTGCTGCACCCTCATCACACCGGGGACCAACCGTCACAAGCGTCCCACCGCTGCAACCCAGCACTGGCACAGTGAAATGGAAAATGTATTTTCCATTTGATACGCTTTTCCCTTTGAATCTCCATAGTTAAAGTATGCCTTTAAAAGCAAAGCTTAGGAACTAAGTTGATTTTCATGTCAGCATCAAGAGCCTCATTGCAGTGGATAATTGCTAAACTATAGTTCAAATTCCCTACCCAAGCAGAACCTTTCCTCATTTCACATACCCTGAGTATCTTGTTGCTGCAGCCCATTTGCACAGGAATTACTGTCTCGGGCTTCAGCTTTTGCCCTCACCCACAGAGTCCTCCTTTCGAATCTATCAGATGCTAAAAATCACATTAATATGAATCAGCTTCAAGGTAGCTTGTTTCTAAAAACAGAACACCAACATGTCACCTGCACCGTTTGCTTGACATGTAATCAGTTTCATAACGAGCCTGAGCACACGCAGATAAGGTAATTTGCAGAACTGTGTCATAAACTGCATTTATTTTGATTTAGAGCATTTTATCTGCTCTCTGCCCACCGGTGTTTCTTCCGAAATTCTCAACTCACCACACCCATTAAATCACAGCAATGTCTAAAATTAAGAGACTGTCAGAAAAATGTTTGCTTGTGCCCCCTTCTGTGTGGAAGACCACCCACAGCTCACCGAAGTCATGGGTTTGGTGGCCCCCAGTCCTAAACCAGTGGCGACCACAAGGTCCAACACCTTCCCAGAGGGCAGGCTACCAATACAGGTGTCACCTCAGCAAAGGTTTAGGAACCTCGTATGGGTTAGCAGTCCCTGTCTAGCTGGCTAATGGCAAGCACTCAAACCTCAGATTTCTAATGTCCTTTAAAAAAGCCAACCAATGCATTTAAAAACTGAACAAAAGGGAGAAGAATGAATGAAAACTATTAGCTTTGCACTTTCTCCCAGGGAGATGTCAACATTAGGACTGGATGAACTCTTGCAGCACAGATGGGGGGAAAACACACCGGTTAACATAAACTCTACAAATCATCCAAATTTCCTAAAACTTGCTTAAGCCTAATGTGGTCAGAAAGGAAAAGCCCTTATTGGACCCATTTGAAGGACTCTTCTTACTTCCACATGCCAGTAAAGACCTCCAGCACCACTGCCCGCAGAAGAGCACTCCCTCCACACGGAGGGTGGCCGACTGACCGGCAGCACACACCGCCCCCCCGGCACAGTGCTCCCAAGGGACAGACCCGGGAAGCACCAGGGCTCCGGAGCCAAAGCCAGTCCCCAGAGCCTACCTTCTCATAGTACTTGACCTCGTACTCAGTGCTGTTGGTGGTCGGGAAGCCCGGCTCCTGCCACGACAAGGAGATGCTCTTCTGCTCAACTTTATCCGTGCGGATGCCGGTGACAGGAGTCGGCGCTGAAAAAGCGGAGAGGAAAGCAGTGAGTGACCGCGGTGCTGCAAGGGCAGAGCATCCCCCTGCTCTGGCAACGCACCTCACAGCACCCAAACCCCCCCGCGCTGGCCCAGCAGAGCCTGACAGGCAGAGCCCCAGAGACAAGTGATGCTGCGTGCCACCACGCTTTGGTTCTGAGCAGCCAAGTGCAACCAGGAGACCACAGCTTACAAGGAATTTTATCTCCATCCTCTCATGCCTCTGGAAAGTCCCATGTCAGCTCGGACATTCAGCTGTGGACACTTCATTTTTGCTTCTGCCCTGTGATGCCACAGTAAAACCTGTAACACCTTCACCAGCTGAAGAGCGTGCTGCTTCTGCAGATACCAGCTCCTCTCTCAAACAGGACTGAAATAGGGCAAACTCCAAGCTGGTGATCATCCAACGGGAGAAGATGGTGGCAAAATACAACAGCTTTGTAATCTGTGGGCAGCCAGGAATGCTCCAGCTGAAAACAAGCAAAAAATCCTAACAGCAGGCTCTGCCGATGGTGCCACAGGGGGGTCTGAGCTCATGTCCAGCGGTCTGAGCCCGCTGACGCCCAGTGCTCCGAGCCTGCTGCTGAGGATTCCTGGGAAATGCAAAATACAGCCTTTGAGCAGGAGGACTTGTAGGACATAGCAAGGCTTCTCCAGCCGCCCTGGCACAGGATCTGCCCCATGCCACCCCAGACAGCTGGGAAGATGGGAGAGAAAGGCTGGGAAGACTGGGAGAGCTGCCTGCCCTACATGCTGCTGAGCACGCAGCCTGTGCCCCAGGAGCTGGCTATTTACTTCTACTTAGCACATGCTCCACGCTGAATCTTCCTCCATGGCACGTGCGCTCCCGTTTAGTTCATCTCACTATGCAAGATGCACTTGCCAACTATTCCCGTTTTAACCAGGTTTGGCTCCAAGCGAGCTGGCTTCTCCAGCACACACAGCCAGCTCGCTGATCCGCAGGCTCTCTGCCTGATGCTGACACCTTTGCTGTCTGCCTGCCTTACCCTGCTCACTCATCTCCGCTCTCCCAAAACCTCCATCTCCTCCTCTGACCCTCTCCCCCTGCCTTCAAGCCGCTGAGCTGCACTCCGCGCCCTGCGCAGCTCCTGCAGCTGACAGGCAGCAGCATTGCCTGCACCAGGCTCCCTGCCTGCGGGCAGCATCCCCGCAGCTCTTCCAAAAGCCTCTGCCTCCCGCACCAGCAGAAAGCCAGCTGGACCTGTCAGACTGTCTGCAGCATCTCAGGAGCCAGCCAAGGACACGGCATCCCCCAACTGCCCCGAGCAAGGCAGCGGCGGCGCAGACGCGATGCTCTGCCCAGGGCCAGAGCATTCAGCAGCAAGAGCAAGGAGGAAGGGAGTGCCTGGGATGTGCTAGGACATCAAAGCCTTTGCTGCAGAGGTGCTATGCAAGGAAGACGCTAAATATTTCAGTAGGGAAAATAAACTTTGTACCTGGTGCCTTTGATAAAAGCTTCTATTGGAGCCCCTTGTTCTGCTTTGGGATGATTAGACAAAAAATTAGGGTTGATTAGAAAAACTGACCTTGGCAGTGGTCAAACATGACAAGTAATGTCTACCCAGGTCTTGTGGGGCAGTGCCACAAGCTGTCCTGGTCAGAGGGCAGAAAGTCTCCTCTCCAGCTGAGGAGAGAACAGGGAAACCAGAGAAAAGCTGCCCGTAACTGTGGCTCTGGGCTGCCCTGCTGCAAGGCAGGGTCCCAGCACAGGGAAGGGGTGAAGGGGCTGCGGTGAATGATCCCCTCATTTACACCAGCAGTCCTGTAGCAGTGAAAGCCACGTGGGGAAATCAGCTGTTTCCAGCTTGTCCCACTCTTCCATCAGATCAGGATGTTTGCTGGACCCTGACTATCCCATAGAGACTCCCGTGGAGAGGAACAGCTCCCTGGAAAGCAAACTTAAGCATCTGTGAAATTTTGTGTTTCTTACTTAGCTCATTAATCTTTGCTGAAGAAAAACGTCCTCCTGATGTTTTATTCATGATGATTTGCTCCTTCATTCCAAGTCCCTTCGGCTTCTGCTGAAAGAGCGAGAGGACCCCAAGGGCAGCCGGGAGCCCCCCCGCCCATGTGAGCTCCCAGCCCCTGCACACAGCTCCATCTGGCTGCCTGCCTTCTCGTGTTTTTAAAAAATAATCCTCCAAATCAACCCATGAGCCCCAGAGCTGACCTCCAAGGGGATATTGCACTGCCCCCGTGTAAAGAAGGGCGAGCTCGTGGCCCCCGCGTGAGCGCACGTCACTGCGTGTTTCACGACATGACAAATGGTAACAGGCGGCGGAGGCCAGCCCGATGCTTAACTTGGGGCTTGTTCCTGTAACCTAAGTTAAGTGCTTCTCGCTGTTTTATCCAATTCCCATCAATAAAATATCATGCAGATGCCCTCCTGTAGCTCTGAATCTTGCAAACGGACTGGAGAAGCCTGAACACGCGGTCCTGACTGTTAACAAAGTCATGGGAAAAATCACGCTCAGAGATCAGCTGTAGAGCAGAACCCATGGTACACGCCAGAAAAGCAGGCACTGGCCTCAAACATGTTTAAAAGGCACTGGAGAAAATCACACAGACTAAAAAGCATTTCACACTGTGAAAAAAATGTGTTTCCCATCAATATTTTAAGCTCCCCTAACATTGCCTGTGTTCTGAAAAAGCAAACATTAAATTATTCACCACTCTGTCTGATTTTATAAACTCCATTCCGTTGTATGTGGGTTTACTCCTCTTAATTAAGCAGTGCAACAGCAGAAAAGTCATAAAACTATGTATGGGCACCGTGTCTACCCCTCGAGTCACCCGCTGCACCCGAAACCCAAAGGGGACCCTTGGAGGGGACAGCAGCAAGCGCGTAAAGACGGAGTTGAACCAAGGGTGCCCGCAGACCACGCAGCCTCTGTGGTCCCACACCTACCGTCTCCAGGAACGCTTTGCTCTCCCCACACCTTTTCGGAGGCAGGGGGGCCGAGCAGGCACACAGCAAACCAGCAGACCACCACCCGCCCGCCCTGCTGCCCACTGGTCCCCGTATGGGGCGAGTGGCAATCGGGTGGACAGAACCTGCCATCACCCCCCCCAGCACCTCTGCTGCCCCACACCACGATGCTGCTCGTGCTGAGGAGGGCCAGCCACCCCCCTCTCCAACACCAGTTATTCACACCCCGGCAGAGAAAACACACTGGGCACCGTCCCAGGGTCCTTCCTCCCTAAGCAGAGCAGCAGCCTCACCGGCCACCGCGCAGCAATCCCAGGTCTGGTCCTCGCTCCATGGATGGCAAAGACCCCACGAGCACTCCCACTCGCCCAGCAAGCCCTGTGGCCCCCTGGCCAAGGCTGGGTTGGCACTGCTGCACCAGCAGCAAACGGCAGTCAACTTCCGAGGGCCTAATTCAGCACACACCACTTCTCCACAGTCTCGGGAAGGAGAATGCATTTCTGCATCGGCTGCATTATTAATCTGCAACAGATTTAAAAGCCCTTTAAGACAGAAGCCGATCCCTGCCGGGAATATAAATGACATCGTCCCAGAGTGTACATTTACATAGCTAATGCAGCTCTACTCCTCCAGGTAAACAGCCCCGTTCTCTCCTCAAACACTTTTATTTAGTCCCATGCTGGGGCCAGATTAGAAAAAACACAGTATTAATTTTACCTCCTGCAGACTAAATAGCATCTTTTCTTTTCCCCAGCAAATACAATGAACAACTGCTAATTCCCTCTTGTGACTGCTGAAGGGGAAGGGCAGTGCGAAAGCTGCACTCGGAGCTATATTTGGAGGAGCAGGGATCTGACAGCTAAATGGGGTCTTGTTTCTTGCTTTAATATTTCCTCCAAATCTGCATATCAGCAGCCAGAGCCTCCCTGCTGCTGCAAATGACTTCCAAGACCATCATGTCGCAGCCGCCAAGGAAGTCACCACTGCTCCAGGCATCCCCGAGGTCTCCCTTTCTCCTGACTTCTGGCCCCATCCGGTACTTCTGCGATGGGCTTCCATGACGAGGGTCTCCAGGGCATGGACTCACTGGAGATGGCAGCCTCCGCAGAGCAGGTCTGCGACCCGTCCGTGCCAGCCACAGCTCCACGTCCTGCCTGCATCACTGCCTGCCCACACAGGGTCCCCTCCCGCGCACAGCCCCCTCGCAGCTGGGGCCTCTTGCCCAGGACAGGCATTACGGACAAACCGGACCAAGAAGCTGCCACCCCATGAGTTGACCTTCACCCCCTCTTTGCTAATGAGCACAGGTTAATTATCGCTGTCACTGCTCACCCAGTGCCAAAGCAAGAGGAACTGGGCCAGCTGGGTGCTGCAGGAGGAGCAGCTCCAGCCTGGTGCTGCCCTCGGGAGGGGACACCCTCAGCAGCACCAAATTCAAGTGTTTCAAGAAACTTCCTGAGCCTCAGCTGCTCAGCTAATTCTGAGCCACCATCTGCATCCGGAGACTCGACAGCCTGACAAGAGACATTGATTTTGAACAGATTACAAGATTAATTATGCCATATTCTTTCCACGTATTTAGTTCTTTCAGGAGCACGCAGTGTTGAGTAAGGAACTGAGATTCCCACTTACCCAGAGGAAAACAGACGATCGGCTGAGGCACGGGTTGGCATCACAGACTTGTTGCTTCACTACCTAGAGAGGATGCAGCTGCCCTTTTCCGGCATCCCCTTGTCCCCAGCTCAGACCTGAAGCTCCAGGTGAGGAGGCAGCTCCTGAGCACCGGTCCCCTGCCCTCTGCCCGAAACCAGGCAGGAGGCTCTGGAAGACCGGCTCATCGTTAGACCTCGTTAAGCTCGCCTCTCCCTAGCTTGTACGCTGGCTCAGGAATAGCCTGAGCTCAGGAGACAGAGGATCTTCCCAGAGTTAAATCCATCCTTAAACAGCAAAGATCCTAATGAGGAATGACACCTCCACTGAGGAGCGGTCTGGGGCACAGCATCCACCCAACGGATACACAGAAATTATTATACGAGGGAAGAGAAAGCAACAACACGCACAAAACCCCACATTTGATCAAGTGGTGGGAAAATTATTTGTAACAAGATCAAAGTTTAATCTCTTCAGATGAAATTGTTGGCCAATTCCTGCCAAGGGGTATGTGAGGATCATCTGTCTCCATTAACTGTGGCTTGGCAAAGGGCTTTCATGCAAATTAATAACGTCACCGCGGAGGAATAGACAAGGACACAACAAGCCAGAGCTGATTTTCCTTGGGCATAGCTAACGACTGGGGAGTGATCAAACCCCTCCGGCCGGCCAGGGCACCGTGCACACAGGGCGGCTGGATGTTCACTTCCCCTCACGTAAGGGAACAGAAACGCGAAATGTTGAGTGGAAGAGGGCATGTACAGTAAGAAACTCTGCCACAGACCAGCACAGAGGAGAGAGGAAATCCATTTTTTCTGTTTCCAAAGGATAGCCAATATTTGAATTATCTGTTTTAAGGAGTGTTTTTGTGAATGGGCTGAAAACATTGTTTCTTTGAAGGTACTTTTTTGTGATTTGTAAATTCAAAGTGCAGCCAGATCACAGAGCAGCCTGGTCCCTTCGGAGCCCCGGCTGTCACCACGCTCGCTGCCACCGCGCTGCAAGCCAGCACCATGGGAGATGTGGGTCTCCCCGTCACCGCTGAGTGCCACACCTGTGCCAACGGAGCAAACTGAGAGGAATCGGGGCACTGCCGCAGTGTCGGGCAGACAGAACCCAAGGACAGTGCCCACACCACCTCCAGACCCTGTGTTTTCCCGGTGACGGAGCCGCAGAGCAGACCGCTACACCCCGGATGTGAGACACCAGCGTAAAGCAGCGCGGGCACCGTTCCCTGGGTGGCAAGGTTCCGCGTGCCTTCGGCGTGGCGTGCGTACCTGTGAGGCCAGTGGAGACGTTGACCTCTGCGTACTGCTGCCCCGACAGCGGGCTGACACCCGAGACACCGTTGACAGCTGCCACGCGGATGGTGTAGTTGACGTGGGGCAGCAGGTTCACCAGGGTGACGGTCCGGTCCACC